ATTACTGCATTTTAACCCAAACTGTAATTAGTGCTGGGTGAGGGTGTTGTAAGATGATGTGGTGTTTGGTGAACATGTGCACAGAAAAAGGAGGGGTTAAAAAAAAGATGTTTATCTGGCAACCCTGCTGACATTTGATGTGATAGTAGCTGAGTCATTCATAACATATTTTATGTGTGGCATCACGTGACATCGCAAGCGGTTGCACAAAATCTTATTTTCAAGGCAACAACTTTGTTTTTTCTTATCAAAAATATGATTTAGTCTTAAATGCTGGCATGTAAGTGGCGGGCGATATGCATTCCTTTGGATAGCTAGGCCTTTTTTAGATTCTGCATTTTTCTTTTGACCCTTTTAAAGATTTTACACGAGTTTGCATGTCAGAATGAAACTTAACAGTATGAGAGTTTTGATCCATCATCTCATTCAAAGAATCAAGGTGAGAGCTGGTGAAAGGGGTCACTTTCATGTAAAACGTTCTGTTTTTAGTGTTTTGTGCTTTACATTCCATCCGATTCTCAAGTTACAGGTTCAGTTAAGCTACTGTATCAAATCAATTTAGAACAAACTGTGATTTGTTTAAAAAAAAAAAAAAAGCGGTGATGCTTACATAATGCATTAACTTCTCATTATTGATCCCTCAGTTCACAGCTGCTGGTTGCGTGCACTGCTGCAGCTGTGACACGTAAACTCTTGGCCTAGAAGTGGTTGTTATTGCTCGGACCTCAGCTGCTGCTGTGGTTCAGTCTGTGGATATTTCCAGCTGCTCTACCATTTCTACCTTCCGTCCAATATTTTGCCAACATGCCACAATGCAACGCAGCGTGTCACAGCAGGGGAACCCTAACAGCCGAAGAGCGTGCAGCAGTGGCAGCTGTCATTTCAAACCTGCAGTCGCACTAGTCAGCAAGAGAGCTGGCAAAAACAATTTTCTGTCTTGTGCCTGAGCAGCTACAGCTGAGTACAGGCAAAACAGGCTGCAGACTACTGTATAACAAGTTCTTGTGTTACACCTCAGCCTCTCTACGGAAATGAAAAGGTTAGGTAATGGGGAGGAAGGCAAACACATGAGTAGGAAAAGTAAAAAAAACTTTGACTTTTTGGGAATATTTATTTAATACACATGAGCTACTTCCCCTGCTTCACTAACAATCCACTAAGAGGTGAAAAGTTTCAAACTTTGCACATATTTGAACTTGTGTTGTAGCACTGACCTGCTCTGGCACTGATTTTATTTCCACCGTTTTAACCTGATCATGGACTGCATATTTAAGAGGGTTTGATTAGCATGATTAACTTGGGAAAAATCTTTTCAACAAAGCGACAGTCCTGGAGAACCCTTATGTCTGCTCGGACGACACGTGCAGCTGGATATATCTCTGGGGAAGTGGAATGTGATGCGTCTACCTCTGCTGTTTATCGAGGACGCTGAAATTGGATTTATAACAGGTTACCTGTTTTTGGAATAATCTGGTTCCTGGTTTATCAGAATACAAAGAAGATGGCCGCAGCTAATTTGGATCTTGTCAGGCTGCTGCCTATGTGGAGGTTTGGTTCGTGCTTTGAGGACTCAAAATCAGCTGATTTATGAGCTAAACCATAAGATGGAAGTGATTTGAATCGCAGGCCACCTGCGGCTTTGGGACTCGTCGGCATGAAAACGACCTTGAAGAGGCTCGTAAGCACGGACCAGTAGAATGCACCCTAATCTGGTCATTTCAGATTGCGGAAGTACCAGTAAAGGCTCAAGGCTGACAAGAAAAAAATAGTCTGCCTGAATAAATGGCTTGTCTGAATCGGACTCCCTGGTTGGCCTCGGAACAGGCTGACCTCAATTTATCAATTTCTCCTGGGGAATGTGTAACCTAAGGAAAAAGCTTTGTCTATCATAACACCACCACCCCCCACCCCACCCCCCGCAACCTCTGTGGAGGCTGAACATCCTCTTATCAGGACAATAGACTGTTGGTGCTTTATGGACCACCTCGTCATCAAATGCATATATAACGTTTTCATAAATGTGCTTGCTGGCAGAGGTTTTTTTTAATGTCTTAAATCGTGTCCTGTTAGGACAAGGTATGAAGAGTATCCTGATGCATGCTCAATAATCCAGGTAGAAATATCTAAAAAAGTTAAATCTGGTCCTCTGGACATTCAAAAAAACAAAGCAAAACAACAACAAAAAATGTAGAAACGTTTCGTCTCTCATCCGAGAGACTTCCTCAGTCTGAGGTGCTGACTCAGACTGAGGAAGTCTTTTGGATGAGAAAGCAAAACAACAAAAAAAATGTAGAAACGTTTCGTCTGTTTTTGTTTTTTTGAATGTCCAGAGGACCAGATTTAACTTTTTTAGAAGGTATGAAGAGATCTTTTTATTTATCCATCCATCCATCCATCCATTTTCTTTACCCGTTTATTCCATTTTGGGTCACGTGGGTCGCCGGTGCCCATGTCCAGCAATCACTGTGCGAGGGGCGGGGTACACCATGGACGGGTCGCAAGTCCATCACAGGGCCGCATAGAGACAAACGAGACAAACAACCATTCACTCTCTCACTCACACCTAGGGACAATTTAGAATTACCAATCAGCCTAACATGCATGTTTTTGGTCTGTGGGAGGAAACTGGAGTACCCGGAGAAAACCCACGCATGCACGGAGAGAACATGCAAACTCCACCCAGAAAGGCCCCCGGACCGGGATTTGAACCAAGGACCTGCTCGCTGAGAGGCAGCAGCTCTACCAGTTGCGCCACCGTGCTGCCACATCTTTTTATTTATTTATTGAGTTATTTTTGTAATGCCACTATCCTCTCCTCCTCCCTTTTTTTTTATTTTTTTCTCTCCCTTTTTTTTCCCCCATCTAAAAATTGTATTCTGAAAAGGATAAGGCTGCGCTATATAGCAGCAGCTACGTGCACTCCGCCCATCTTTCGGACGACTGTACGAACATATTCTCGTTGTATCTGGGTACAATGAAAATAAAGCTTATTCTGATTCTGAATACTGCACATATTGATGGGCAGCAAATACACTATATAGTATGGTACATGATGTGCTTGCTTTGTATTTTTAACAGTGACTTTTCATTAAGACTACACAGCAGCATTCTACCTCCTAATAGATCAATCACCCTCTGCATTAGTAGATGTTTCATCGGATGGTGTTGCTTTAATTAAAATCTTTTATAAATATTTAATGCATATGATAGCATAAAAAATGTGTTTAGAAGCAAAGAGGTCATGACTAGTCAGTATCTTACCTGCAGTAGACATCAGTCAGAACAATTTATTGTCAGATAAGCTCAGAGAAATCCTTATGGCTATGTCAAAGGAGCGTTTTCATTAAACATTTCTGCAAAATAACCACACAGACCAGTCGGTCTTAATGTTGCCTATAATCGTTTAAAGATCCGATAGAGCCGGCCACGTGTCGCACGGAAGGGAGTTTTTAGGAATGGAGCAAACTTTCCAAAGCCAAAAGACGTGGAGCAGAACAAAGCTGAGTTTACACGAATATGAAGTTGCTGTGAGTCATCTTTGATCTTCTCTTGGTAATTAATCTGTTTGTTGGTCACACAGAATATATGGTAACAATATCAAGCTTCATTGCATTATTGAGCCACAGCACTGGCTTACCTTTCCACATGACGACCGTTTCGCCTCCATTACCTCGTTTTGTGGCACAAAAGCACATAAGAGGTAGGATGGCTTCACCCCCTCGGTCCATTCAGAAATTACACTGAGGCGTCCAGAAGGACTGAGGTGTTTTGTGAAAGAGCCCAAGTTATATCAGCTTTTCATGCTGGAGCAAATTCAGGGCAAATTTGAGCAAACTAAAACATACACCTCTGATTGGTTTGAAACTCTTCTTCTTCTTTTGGCTTTTCCCTCTTCAGGGTCGCCACAGCGAGTCATCATCCTCCATGTCACTCTGTCCTCACTCCAGCTACCTCAATTTCCTCTCTAACTGCATCCACATATCTTTTCTTTATCTTTTTTCCTGGCTGCTGCATTTCTAACCTATCTACCAATATACCCACTATCCCTCCTCTGGACATGTCCAAACCATCTCAGTCTGGCCTCTCTAACTTTATCTCCCAGTTGTTCAACCTGTGCGGTACCTCTGATGATCTCATAATTTTATCCATCCTTGTCACTCCTAAGGAGAACCTCAACATCCTCATTTCTGCAACTTCCAGTTCTTTCTCCTTTTTGTCCATGTCTCTGTCTCCAGACCATACAGCAAGATCACATCTGCTTTCTTTTGACCTTTGCTGACACCCTTTTTGTCACAAATCACTCCTGAAACTTTTCTCCATCCACTCCATCCTGCCTGGACTCTCTTTACCACACTCCCCATTTTCCTGGACAGTGGACGCCAAGTACTTGAAGTCCTGCACCTTTGTGACCTCTGCTCCTCGTAGCCTCACTGTTCCACCGGCCTCTCTCTCATGCACACACATGTACTCTTTCTTACTACAACTGACTTTCATTCCTCTTCTTTCAAGTGCATACCTCCACTTTTCCAAGTTCTCTTCCACCTGTTCCCTGTTTGTTTGCAACTGTTAAAGAAAATGTTGTTCTATATAGTCCTACAATGCGTTACTTTTGCATCAGATAGTTGTTTTGCATTGTTTAACCTAGAACATGTTGCAATAAACCACAGATAGAATTTAAACATGGACAGTGCTCCGTGTGAATAACCATAGATGCCAAAGTGTAAAATGTTCAGTGTAAAAGTTCATAAAAGAGCACTTAAACTTGAATCATGGCAACATTTTTTGAGGTACGGGTTATTTTTAGATGACTAAAAATCACTCCGAAATGGCCCCAATGTGATAAGTGTTAGCTCCATTCTCTTAAGAATTTCTCCCTGATCCACCAACATGAGATCATGCAGACTGTTGTCTATTGCAGGTAAGATACTGATTGCTCATATGAGAGTGCATGCTCTACTTTCCCACCACGTTTTAACATCAAATGTGCATGCATGACTTACCAATCCATCACAATTGCTGATAGCCACAGAGGCCTCGGGCATGTCCATCACATCCCCAGTGAAAACACAGTCTCTGTGGATGTGTTCCTTGGTCTTCTCTTCAAAGTCCTCCTGCCACTCCACAAAAGCTCCCGGGGCCACCAGCCTCCTGTTGGCCCTCAGGCGAAGGTGAAGCTCCTTCCCGAACACAGTGACGTTGAAAAACGTGTAGTGGCCCGAGGGAGAGGTGACTGAGGGCATCTCGGGGGCACCGCGGGCCACCCTTCTTCTGCTGCCAAGGCTTGAGGGATTTTCAGTAGCAGCAGCACTTTTGCTTCCACTTCCAGCTGAGAGCACGTGAGAAATGTACCGGCCGTGGGAGTCTGTGCTGAACGGCACGATAAGACCATACTCATTTAACTTTCCCGAGAGTTTTTCTGGTGGGACAAACGGTGTCAAGTGAGAAACACAGTCGCAGATTTATGACGGGCAAGCTGCTCTGGAATAAAAATTCTGTTTATGAATAAATGACATAAATAATGAAGAAAATTTAAGTCCTGATTCGTTCTTTTATTTAAAGCTGTATGAGCAATAAATGTAGCAATCAATCCAGCAATCTCTGCATTATTTGTTAATCAGGAACAATAAGGCAATCAAACGCATTGTGCTGACTTTTCTAAAGAAATGCCCATTCATGGTTATTATTTCTCTAATTTGACAATATCAGATTGCTCTGCCTTCACCTATTCCTAAAGGCACAATAAACCAGAGTGACTGGATACTCACCATGTGTTTCAGCAGCAAGAATATATTCCAACAGTACCTGAGTGAGTGAAAAGCACATCAGCAAATGCATACAATCCATAGCGAGAGCTGAAGTGCAAAGTTTTCCTTTTTCTGTTGCAAACTTTAGTCCCCCCCCACCCCCCCACCCCCACCCCCCCTCCTCAGACCCTGAAGAGGCACAAAGGCAGCAGAGAAGTGCTCAGAGCTGAGCTCCAGCGAGGCAGCCGGGCATGTTGTGAGCAGCTCCCCGTCTCTACACGCCAACAGGACGGATCCTCACGAGCTGCTCCCAGTCCTTTGACCTGCGTTGAACTGGAGAGACCGAGGCGGCCCCGTCCATTTAGGGAGCCAAACTGGGGGGGATAACTGGGGTGCTGATGACGACAACTCCCCCGGTATAAGAACCAGGATGGTTTGAAGTAGTTGCCCACTTTTTTTTTTTTCTTCTCTTCTGCTTCTTCTTTGCCTCTTCTCTCCCTCCTCTGTTAACTTTTAGTAAGTTAACACGCCTACACTGAAGTTAAAGGAAGAAAAAAAAACTTTCAGGGATCAGATGAGACGGAGTGTCCCCGTGGCGGATCATCTGCAGTCCAGTCGTGCACAATTACGCACGGATGCTCGGCTGCGGAACTCAAAGGCACTGCGGCGCACAGCGGGAGCGCATTCTGTCTCAGTGTTTCCTTCTCCTCACAGGAGACCCGGGACGTTATTTCATCAGATTAAGTTGAGCACACGCACGCGCGCACACTTCAACAGCTGATGATCTGCAAAAAAAAAAAAAAAAAGGTCCAGATGCAAACATGTTTACGTTGGCCCCACAAACACATGTTTGTGCTAACATGGCAATAAATCAAGGAATACATTCCAGTAATCCACACTTCAAAACAAAACAAAACAAAAAAGAATAGACAAATTCTGTGAAAATGCGTTCTACTTGATAGGTTTTATTCTAAGTAGAAATAATTTTGAGTTTACAAAAACAAAATCAGTTCTAGGGATTATTTTCAAAAAGTTTAACTTGGTTCATGGGTTATTTTGCTAACAGACAACTAGATGAGTCTGCAACATTTCATGCTTAAGTATTAGGCAAACGTCTCTCCTTGGAGTATATGTGCTGGGAAAACGCACCAAATCTGAGTTTAATATCAGTGAAATTGACTGAGTGATAGAAATGTTTTGTTTTTTTTATGATTACTTGGCTGTGGCGGCCATCTTAAATTAGGTTGGCTCCAAAAGTGAATCAGCTGTTGATGTCCAGTGATTATTTCCTTTTTTTTTTTTTTTTTAAATCACTCAAATCTGTTCAGTAGTTCATGAGATACAGTATATGTTCCAAAATGACTCGGATTGAAAATGGTTCTGTTAGTAAAATAGTTCTGTTGGTGCTCAGAATGCATCATGGGAGCAGGCTCAGCTACTACCATACCAAGGTTTAGGTCCATATCAATAAAACCAGCAAAGTTATAAACATTTTGTAGGTTTGCTCAAATTTGATTGGTTGTTCAGTCATCTTGAATCAAGGGTAACGCTTTACAATAATTTCACAAAATTTGACTAGGGAACGAATCGGGAACAAATCAGGAGCTAATGGTTAGTTAACCAGTACTTACTGGGGAACACACAGCCAAGACTTATTAGGGGACTACTGGTTTGTTACCACAGAAACGGAGGATAAATTCTCCATTGGGGTTCAGAAATAAACCAGTGAGGTCACAGCTCATAATTGTCACAAACCTGTTTCCTAGTGATTACTGGTTTTATTGGATTCTTACCACTGATGAACAATTTCATAATCTTGACACTTTACAATAAGGTACACAAAAATTCCCAGTAAGTACTGGTTAACTACCCATTAGCTCCTGATCAAGCTCCAAAAAGATGTAGACTGGCATCTAACGGTTACTGTATGGGAGTTTCAGTAAATGTTGTCCAGTGGTTCGTAAAATATTTTGCTAACAGACACTCTGGAAAAACATTTGATTTGTTTTTACATTTTGTGCCAGGCAATAAAAATCCCAAATATCCTCCAATTCATTCAGATTATGAGATTTTAAAAAATGATTATTCTGTGTTTTTTACATCTGAATTCATTTTGCAAATGGGCGACAGTTAATTAATCTCTCTTTTTAAAAAAAATCATAATCTGGCTTAATTCCTGCAGATGTCACTGTGAGCATATTTGCAGAAAGAGACCAATTCCAGTGACATCAGCAGAGGTTTAGGATGTGTGAAAACTCTGAGGCAACTGGGATTTCTTTTTGGCTTCTGCTTTCCCCACTGGAGTCCAGACATGACCACACTGAGACTGAACCAACAACTCTGAAATGTTTCTCAAAGGAGGGGGTTGGGCTGAAATAAGTCCTGACTTTCAGGTGGCTTTTTTTTTTTCTTTCTTTTATAAATAAGGTGTCTAGACTGGAGATTCTTCCCACTTCCCCAGTTCCTCGAGTGTGCCTGGGCCCCAGATAAGGGCGCACTGCCGGTTATGCTCTCAATGTGTGGCTAATTAGCTCAAAGCTTCCAGGATGGTCAATGCAGAGCAGGTGTGGGTTCTGCGCAGTCATCGCCTTGGGGCAGCTGAGAGAGGATTGGAGGGTGAGCCAGAGCTGTGCATTAATAAGCACTGGAAACTAACCGCAGTATTAAGAGATGGAAACCATTAACTGCCTGTGAGAAGTTTTATGCTGTTTTTCCATCCATACTGTTTGGATATTTTTTTCATACGTCTCCAAAAGCCAGGAAGACATTCCACAATGTAGCATAGTATTCAATTGGAAGCCTTGTTTTTTCCCCTTAGAAATGAATAGCTGCTCTCAGACTGTGGTTAAGTCCACACACGAACAATTTTCTACAACAGTACACTCTGTCCTTTACAACGCAAGTAAAGCTTTACTGTGCTTTTGTTTCAAACGAGTACTTTTTTTTTGCAGCAAATCACTAATGTTCAAAAAGTACGCGGAAATCACTTCACAAGCTGCGTCCCTTCAAACACTCCACAGCATTTCAAGATCTACAGAGTCTGAGCGCATGTGGCTGCAAAGGGTCAAGTCTTTTCCACTCCGTGTTTCCAGCCATGAGAAGTTGCAGTTCAGGCTGTGCAATGGTGCATGCCTGAATGTGTGCTGTAATGTTGTCTAGTCATGCCAGCGTGCTGAGAAACTATGTGACTTTGCAGAAGATGCAAAGCAGCTGTTGGTCTGCCCCAGCAGTTTGAGGGAAGAGGAGTGTGTGCAGCGAAGTGGATGGAGGGATCTGGCCCAGAAAATATCAAAATAAGAGATTTGTTGTCACGCTGAAGGTTTGATTTGCCATTCAGTCTTGTTTTTATATATATTTGTAGATGCTGTCATGTGACTAATCCATTAATCCATTATCTTTACCCGCTTCTTCCTTTCCGCGTCCCTGGTTCCCATATCCAGCAATCACTGTGTGAGAGGTGGGGGACACCCTGGACAGGTCTCCAGTCCATCACAGGGACACACACAACCATTCACTCTCTCACAAATCATAAACTTTTGTTTTTTTTCCTGTTAAGTGTTAGATCTGATCCATAAATACCTCAAAGTGATGAAATTGATGTTCTGCTTTCGACAGATTAAAAGAAAAAGAAGCACAATCTAATCTGATGTTTAACATGACTCCATGATTTGTTTCTTCCTGAACTTTTCTGAAAATCCATATTGCAAAAGATGCTAATAAAGACTTTCAATCTGGAGATTTGTGTTCGTTTTGACTTTGTGTGCTACAAACTTGTTTTTGATGCTGACCTAGTGCTAATGGTTATCATGGTCGCTAAAAATGTTTATTGAATGAGCTTCATGTGGGATTTATTTAGTGAAGGAGCAGATTGCAACCAACCAATAGCATCGGCCTCATTTAAACATTTTCGTGTTACTCTCCTTAGACGGACAGTACCTTTTTTTTTTTTTTTTTTTTTTTTTTTTTTTGTAACTGACTGTGTAATCAGTAAATAACTCATTACAGCAATATGGATCCTAATGCAAGTTTTTTTTTCTTTCTGTTGACAAAAAGAACAGGTAACATGATGCCAAATGTTTAGGAGGAAAAGAAGTCATTAACTAGAAGGTCAGTAGATCAATTCTGGCTTCCTCTACATGTCAAATTATTTCCAGAGACCTTTAGATGGACTGTATGGACCAAGTCAGGGGTGTCAAACTCACTTACAAAAGGGGCCAAAAATTAAACCCTTTTTCAAACTAAGGACCAATTTCAGAATCTACATGAACTCAAATCAGATGGTGTTGGTCCACTGTTTTATCAAGCGCAGGGTCAATGCAGCTAGCTATCAAGAGATTTTGGAGCACTTCATGCTTCCATCTGCTGAAAAGCTTTATGGAGATGAAGATTTCATTTTTCTGCACGACCTGGCACCTGCTCACAGTGCCAAAACCACTGGTAAATGGTTTACTGACCATGGTATTACTGTGTTCAATTGGCCTGCCAACTCTCCTGACCTGAACCCCATAGAGAACCTGTGGGATATTGTGAAGAGAAAGTTGAGAGACACAAGACCCAACACTCTGGATGAGCTTAAGGCCGCTATCGAAGCATCCTGGGCCTCCATAACACCTCAGCAGTGCCACAGGCTGATTGCCTCCATGCCACGCCGCATTGAAGCAGTCATTCATGCAAAAGGATTCCCGACCAAGTATTGAGTGCATAACTGAACATGATTATTTGAAGGTTGGCGTTTTTTGTATTAAAAACACTTGTCTTTCATTGGTGGGATGAAATATGCTAATTTTTTGGGACAGGCATTTTGGGTTTTCATGAGCTGTATGCCATAATCATCAGTATTAAAACAATTAAAGACCTGAAATATTTCAGTTGGTGTGCAATGAATCTGAAATATATGAAAGTTTCATTTTTATCATTACATTATGGAAAATAATGACCTTTATCACAATATGCTCATTTTTTGTGAAGGACCTGTATATGCTGCTACATGTACTGCCAGATACATATACATGCATATATACGTATGTATGTGTATAAAAGCTGCTGAGACCTTAGATCCGCATTAAAACCTTATATTCTCATCAAATTTCAAGTCTGTAGTAAACAAGGTTGAAGGAGTTTTGACAACAGCTGCTCTCAGTTCTAGTTTGTGAACTATATAAATTTTTTTTTTAAATCCTGAGTTTGCACATCGCCATAAAGAAAGGGGACTGCAGTAAGACAATTATTTAAAATGTGCAGAAATATGTGTATTCTTATAAAACTTACAATCCTCATCAGTCTTGTTGCTTAATTTCCTAATGAGGGATTTTTAAAGCGCCCCATCAAGTCAGATTCATGGTTCTCAAGCATCATGGCCACTATAGCAACTTCAAGCAAAGTCACCAGTAGCTCTACTACTGTAGAGCTTCTTTTGTTGGGAGGTTAGGATTCTCATTTGCAAGATAAAATAAATTGAGTCTGGTCCTCTCACTGACAAAATCTTGATTGAAGAGGACCAGAAATGAGTTTTTTTTTTAAAGCTATTTGTCAATTCAGTCATTACTTTTTATCCTGCTGGCTGAGACTTTTCATTACCCTGCTCAGTGGGGTGTGTAATATATGGCCTATCAAAGATTCTGCTTTATTACTTGTGGTAAATGAAGACCTATAGACGTTCAGATTTAAGCTCTTCACTGTCTCGTTATTACCAAATCTTTTAGAAAACTGACAGATGAGTCAAGTCTGAGGAGGTGTTGCCTTCATGCGACACAAGGACAATCAAAGGGGACTGCAATGCACTCGTGCACCCACACCAGCGCCATGTCTCCTGTCCAGACCGGCTCTCATCTGTGGCGGGACGCTTTCCACATCTAGTTCATTACATCCTCTCTTGCCGCTCTCCTCTCAATGCCACTCTTTGTCCATCGTAATCTCTGGATCCTTCAGAACCACTAGCTTGAGTTTCACTTTGGGGAGTACCTCAATGAGTTTGGAAGGGATTTCAAAGGCGACGGGGCCGCTATATCATCCAAGCATGGTCCTCATGTCCTGAGCTTATCTTGACCTGGAGTCAAGTTGGCAGCATGCTGCAACTGAATAGCCCCTCTTCATTTCCGAATGCATTTATTTATTTTTTTTAACTGATTTGTTTCTGCTGACAAAGCAAAATTTCTAAAAGGATGCAATCGTTGGACAAAGGCTTTCCAATGATTTTCATTTAACGTACATCCCAAACCCCATCATCCATGGGGGTCAAAGTAATCGCAGAGACAAAAAGGAAAGAAGTGTGGCAAACTTTAATTTAAATTTTGGACTTGAAATCCAAACAACTTCCGCCCTCAGAGATAAGCCTTCTGTGCACTTACATGACGGGAAGTGATCTGAGATATTAGTCTTTCAAAGCTGACCGGCGAAGCCAAGTGAGCTTCACTGATGTGCCGGCCAGCAGCTTTTAATCCTCGCACAACCCTCTATTCTTGAGGGGTGACCATGTTTTTTTTTTTTTTTTTTTAATTAAGACCCTACCTGTCCACATCAAAAGGGTTTTCAGATTAGGCTTTTGATCTAAGCTCTTTATTACTGTGCATGGAAAATGTTAAGATTTCAACCCAACAATGAATCATCTGTTTTGTGTAAATCCGCTGTTCGATGCTTATAACCCTCTCCGAAGCTGGCGCTGACACAAGACAAAGAGGCCGTGCAGCTATACGAGGGGTATCTTGGCGGTACGCATCTGGTGCAAAAGGATGAAGCCGAGAAAAGGAGGCGATGAAGAAAAAGGAAGCTGAGGAGGGAAAAGATCGGAAACTTCAGTAAAAACCTTGCACCGTGACGATTTGAGCACAGAATAGTCAGTTTGGTGTCCTACGAGACGCCAAACTCCTCATGCTGAGGGACTCGTTTCATAGTTTTGTCTTGTGAAAAGCAATGACCTGACACCAAAAGCAGCAAAAGTTAAATCATTTATTTTAGCCTCCAAAAGACAAAAGAAATTGCACTTAAAGTGAACAATTATAAAGAGCTTAATAATAATAAAAAAAGACTAAAAAAAAGCTAAGAACTTAGGGTGTTATTACAAATTATAAACATGTTCTTGTGTTAAGTCACAAATACATCAATGCAATAGATCTACATAAAATACATTTTCCAACTTGCTTTCAGTTAACATCTCTTTAAACTATCAGTCTTGTTATCTGATGCACAACAAACAAAAAAAAAGAACAATTTTTGTTCCCTTTCTCGTTTTAAAACGAGATTTATGGCAACTATGCTTCGTCAATTAGAAGAACCGAATGTCCTAAATGATAAACGTGCTTCGAGATTAGAAAAATCCTGTACAGAGTTGTTCGGTGTGGACGTTAATAAAAACCAGCTTCGGTGTAACAATTGTATCTCTGTTGCTCTAACTGGGTGACAAAAGCAAAACTTTTTTTTTTTTTTCCCCGAGCATTGAATCATCCAACTGTTATTTCTTTCCACTGATGTCACCAGCATGAGCTAGTTACATGAGAAAACAGTCAAATGGTACCAAGCGTTCCTAACTCCCATTACACATCAAATATTTGGCGTTTCCAGTCTTCCACTCAGATGCACAATTTGATCGCTGTTAGACGGGAACCAAGGGCTTGATTATAAAAATGAAACTCTTAATAATTTTCTTACATCAAAGTCTGTTTAAAACTTTATTAAAATTTTTTTTTTGCCTGCTGCTCATCTCTGCTTGAGACCGACAGCTTGAGAATACATTAGCTGCAGCATTTCCCCCCAGTCAGTCAGATGGACTGCCAGTGGGGAAGCCTCTGGAAATTGGCCAATCAGAGGAAGGTTAGCTTTTAGAGACCTTGAAAAGACAGAAGCCTAATTAGGTCAAACATAAAAAAAATTATATTTATATTTAAATCATGCAGAGCTTTTCTGTTTGAGTCTAACTACTGTATTTTCTGGCGTATAAGTCGCTTCGGAGTACAAGTCTCATTTATTATGTCACTGCTGACCCCCTGGAAACGTGGGAAAATCGACGGCCGCCGAGGGAGCGTGCACGGGAGGACTCGCTCTTGCAGTTCTTAGAAATTTAGCAAGATTAACACCTAAAAATGATTTGTTTGCTCAACATCATAGCAAAGGTGTGTCTTCGTTTAACTTTTCCTTTAATAAATCCATTTTGATGGTCACAGCTGCATTTTGCCTGGGTGGCGCGCAATCTGCTTCCCTGGGAAGCAGCGAGGTGCAGGCGGTGGGACGCTATAGAGCCAGCCGGACACAAAGGTCAGGTTCCCTGTGAGGGGGGGGATCCTATGCTGCAGAGTGACCGTCCATTCCGCAGGGTTGAATCCCCAGGGCAGACTGTGCGGACCCCACCCGTTTACAAACTTTCTTTCTGCTGCTCTATTACCGTTTTGGGCCGCACATTTTATTACCTGCAGTTTGTCATCTGCAAAATAGTATTTTCTTTTGGGGGGCATTTTGCCTGTGCTAGGTTTTTCTCAGTCGTCTCTAAGTGAATGTTTTTTTTTTTTGGTGTGGGGTAGATTTAGAGGAACGACATGTACCGGTAGTTGACGAAAGTCTAGAGCGCCCTCTAGCAGATGTAAATGGTAATGTTTACTCTGGTTCATGCCAGTATGAATGAACATTTAAAGCGTCAGTCAAAAATTGTCTTATGAATATGGAATAAAAACGTATACAAGTTGCTTCGGACTATAAGTCACAGGACTGGCAATTCTATGAAAAAACAAACAAAAACAAAAAAATAAATTGTGACTTATATGCTGGAAAATACGGTGTGTGTGTGTGTGTATTTACCCAAATAGAAATGGGGTGATGTTTCCAGAAATAACATTTAAAAGGCCACTGTAGAAAAAAAAATGTTAACTCTGCTTGAAAACACAAACAAAAGACATAAATAACTTTACTGTGAATGTAAAAAACAAACAAACCAGACTTGTTAGTACCTGCGTTAAGAAACTTCAAATTTAAATGCAAAAGAAAACAAGTACAAAACTTCGCTGTTCTGCCCTTTTTTTTTATATGGCAGAATCTTGTGCTTTCTAAGTCATTTACAAGAAAGGACGATAAACCTTACAGATGCCTTAATATTTAAATAAAAACCGATTTCATATGTACACAAGGACTCAAAAACCTCCATCTTCTCTCCATCATTATAACTGCATTTGGAGGAAAAGGTCAGAGACCCAACAAACTGTGACCTGCATGGCTAACACGGTAAAGTTTCTCTTTCCTTTTGTCTTTTCCCAACAAGAGCTTTCATTGCCCATCACAATAATAATAATTATTATTTTTAAACAGAAAAATTAAATAAACTATTAGTACACTGGAGTTCTATATTCATCATAAATTCAAAAGGCACAAAAAAGAGAAACTTGCCTATTTCTGACTTTAGAACAAGATATAAAACAACCTTAACATTAAACTAACATCAGTGAGTTAGAAAAAACCCCAGAATAAAACAAACAAAAAGATGGAGTAGAGGCATACAGGGGGCAATACTGAAAACATAAGGTCACTAAATGTCTCATTCTGAACAGCACAGAGCTGTTTTGGGGCAATCCTCTCAGATGAACTCCCCTCGGAAAGGAAGCGACTGAACGTTTTGCTGCTGCCAGCGGTAGCGCAGCCTGCCCAGCTGCATGTCCCTCGGGTCTTCGAACGTTGAGAAGCCCAGCTGGTTGAGGAGGTCATAAACTCCGGCTCTGGCGGCCACCTGCCACAGAAAGACACAAAACGGCAATTAAAAAAGCAAAATCACACACTCTTTGTTACAGTGTGTGTAAAATGGCCGCACAAACACAACCAGCTAACGCAGTTTGGTTTCCTGCAAGTTCAGCTGTTTTAGTGAAACTGTATCGGCTGTGAGTTTGGAAAGGACAAGATGTTGAAGGAAAACCCATCAAATGGAAAGGACATGATGTTGAAGGAAAACCCATCAAATGCTTCAATTCAAGAAAAACATCACAACCAGTGGTGGGATGTAACAAAGTACAAGTACTTTGTTACTGTATTAAGTACATTTTCATGCACCTGTACTTTACTTAAGTAGAGTTAAACGTGGGTACCTTTTGACTTTTACGCCACAACATTTTACTTCAAATATCTGTACTAACTAATACACTGCATTCATGTTGTGTTTTTTTGATTTGCTTGAAAGTAACCAATGATGAGAGGGGAGTTGGTCCACTGAATCACTGCAAAGTGGGCAGGTAACGTTAGACCCACCTTCAAGAAGAGCTGGACCAATGATGTATATTCTAGTTACTAGTGTATATAAGTCATTGTGCTGGATGCACCGCTAACGCACACAAAATGGATTCCACCGTGGAGAATCAGCCAGAAGATACGTGTCACCCATGGCCTTATTGAAAGACTATTGAAAGATTATTGAAAGATTATTCAGTACAGCAGGACAGATTTTCTTCCAAGAGTCAGACTGGACTCAAATAACACTGAAAAACAACTTCTGAACTTGAGCAAAAAATTATTTCTGCAATATTAAAACGTGTCAGTTCATGATGTTAGGACAGGAGACGAGAGACGTCTCCAAATGGCTCGACTCTATGGTCCAAGTTTTGAAAATGGTGTCAGGAAGTTAAAATATTGTTCACTACTGACCCATTACAAGGTCGACTAGATAGTATTTTAACTAGTTGATGACAAACTGGAGTTGAAATGATCAGATATTCCTTTGTTGTGTCTAATGCTCCTTTTTTCAGGCAGACAATTTTTACTTAAATGTGTTTACTGCAGTTAAAATGACACATTGGTTTTACTTTGTGATAAATAAAAACTTTCAAAGGTAAAATCATTCCTCGTTCTTATTTTGCTTGATGACATTTAACTGCATGTCATCCTTGAAATTCTGACGCACAGAATCACAAGTCCAAGTGTGAACTGTGTCACAGAGTAAACACAATAAAAACATGTATTATCTGCAGCATCGTTCATTAAAATGGCTCAACACTATTAATGTATTGCAGAATATATACATATGGTAGGTACACTTAATTATATTTTAGACCATTACATTAGGTAATGCATTCAGCAAGTACTTTTAATACTTTAAGTATTTTTAAAAGCAAGTACCTATTTACTTTTACTTAAGTAAAAGCATTAATGTGGTCCTTCTACTTTTATTAGAGTACATTTTTGTCTGTTTATTTGTACTTTTATTTAAGTACAGTGTTTGAGTACTTTCTCCACCACTGGTCGCAACTGATCAGCTGGTGACTGAAAACGGTTTCGAGTTTGACTGGTGACCAGCAGAACCATCAGGTCTGAAGCGGGTTTTTAAAAGCCGAGCTCATCTTTGGTGAACTGAGAGTCCAAGCGTCTTTAGACGAGACACACATGAACTGTGTGGGATGGACTTTGTCAATCCATTTCCAGATCTTATACTGCTGTATGAGCAAAACATTAAATCTCAGTTTTTGCTTGTTAGCTTTCTGCCTATATGAGGGCGAAAAATAACTTTTTTGTGGAAAGAAAAGAAAAACATTGAGTAAAAACATCAGTTAAAACTATTAAACATGTTATGAATCAGAACCACCTAAGTTGTTCAGAATATAGGAAACCCAGGGCAACATTACAGTACAGAAATGAGATCTGTTTATCTTTCTCAGAAAAATTCATGAATGAATCTGAATGGGGAGGAGAGTTTCCTCAAGAGACGTGACTGTTCGTGTTAGTCTGCAGGTCATGCTGAGTTACGGTCTGCCGGTGATGTCGAACGTTAAACAATTCATGGGAAACCCGGAGAGCAACCAGAAACATCTGGACGCAAAGGCAAACAATTCAAATAAATCAATGCAAAACCAGAAGGCACAGACTTCTCCGAAAAAAACTCAACTTTTCAAGACCGAACGGCCAATTAGAAGAGCCGAAACTTGCCAAGTTTACTCTACGGGGGGAATCGTCGATGTTCAATCACATCCATGAAAATAAACAAATGACAAGAAGTCAGCTCCTGAGAGAAGGTCTCCCTTACATCTAGTTTGGAATCAGTGGAGAAATAGAACAAAGCCACGGGACATTAAGGGGAGAACGTGGCTTAAAACACGCCAAGAAACAAAAAAAAGACAATGAATGCATGAGAAGAAAAGATGACACAAAAAAGGACTTATTTTCACTTTCATAGCAATCCAAAATGGAAATAATCTGATGTGTATTCTGGTTGAAAGATAATCAAAGTTGTCATAGTTAAAAGCGAACAAAGAACAGGAATAACACAATCAAGATGTTCCTTTTGCTAACAGTGATTATAGCTTTGCTGGCCAGGTTTGTGCAGAAATAAACATTATGAAGTATGGTCTGGACTATTTATTATTGGTCGAGACAATTTTACAATTTATAAAGTTCAACTTCCGCTTCATAGACGAATTCTAAACCTACTAAGTGAATTGCATGAGTAAAAACAATCCCACGGCTTCCGTTTTCCTGTGTTAAAGCAGCTGTTTATAAATAATCCAGTTCTTTTCATTCCATCTACGTCTGAGTCCGACGTGTTCCTGGAAAGCGGACAGCCTGCATGCTCTACAAGCTTTTTTTGATGGGAACAAATGACTTGTTGCATCTGAACCATTTGTCGGCAGATGTGGCTCCTTAACAGACTCTCTGGATGTGCACAATTAACTAGGACAGCCTGACTCATCCCCTCCACAGCCTTGCTGGCTAAAAAAAAAAGCAAAGTGTGGAAAAAAAATATATATATATTGTTAATAATGACAATTGTTACAGAGTCATGGACGAGAATTTCATAAAAAATAGCTCTATATTGTATTTTGTCGGGTTTAGATGTGGCTGCTTAACATTTCTCACTCAATTCAAATGAAAGATTTGAATAAGTGACCTCTCAATCACCGACTCGCCCTCTAACCTCTGCTCCACCACTCCCTTAAATATACATTATACTATATTATGGTTAATTGATCTCTCATATATATATATATATAT